CTGGCTAACACGCCAATCATCACCCACAATGGAAAATATTTTTCTACGCCACTGTTGACTGTCAGGTATCATAATAATACAATATCAAATAAGGATAAAATATTCAATGTTAATTTTTATGTGTTTTGCCATAATCTCATAATTTTTGTAACATAAAACTATATTTTCTCTCTGACAAAATGGACAGAGTGGATATTTAAATTTTTTTCTTATATGTTACTGTCAGTGAGCAAGTATATAAAAATTATTTAGCATTTTTATGAATAAAATTGATTGAAAAGTATATTTTACTACTCATAATTTACCACTCGCACACACTTTTTTTCACTCTTACAGCTTTCCTCTTAATCATCCTTCATTTATACTGTATAAATCAATCAATCAAATCAGCATTTGTGAAATGCCTTTCCATAAAACAAAGTGGTATTCCAAATAAAATATTGCTAAAAAAAAGTGATTACAGAGTGATTTTCTTTGATGAATATTATTTTTATAGTAGTTTTAAAAGCCATAATGTTGAAATAATTACCGTATGCTTTCCACTAATACTATTCCAATATCACCTATACCAACCTATATACCTATATATGTTAAAAGTTCAGGTTTACATATCAACTATATATACTGTATACATGTAATAATTTAAAAAGCATGCCTTTTTTTAAATCAAGATGTTATACAGGATTTTTTGGATAGGATTAATTTTCTTGCATTGGTGGTGCAGCTAAACGGAGCTGGAAACTTTCCTTCTTTAGTAAACTGTTGCTTTTGATTAGGCTTTGATCTGAAGATGAGCTACGGCTGTCCCTGATCACATCACAAAGAATCGCCATCTAAAAAACAAATATTTACAACAATGAAATTATGATTTTTATCCACTGTATATTATTCGTACTATGCATATCTGTTGGTGTATGCGAATGTAACGGATAAATAAAAGATAAGTGTTCCTGTCCCATGTTATAATCTGCTTGTTCCTTACTATTTCTTTTGTAAATTTTATTGTTTTGAGACAAATAAGTGAAATTAAAATCTTGATATCAGAGCCCAGCATACCAATGCTGAGATACTTGCTTGTACATGGTAAAGATGGCAACACCATCTCAAAATAAGTGGATGAGCACATTCCTCCCCTTCGCGTTCGTGCCTGTTCATCAATTAATTTATTGTAGTTTGTTAGTCTGGAAGGTGCTATAAAAATGCATGACCATTGAACATACTTGAATTTTTTGCTGTGTCTCAAATCATTTATAAACAAATAATCCAAAAGGCTGTGGTATATGCATTTGTATTATCTACTCCCTTATACCATGGAAAAAAAATGTTTCAAGTCTGTGCTTACACGAGATGGTCCTTCTGCCTCTTTTTTCAATAGCCTTAATGCAGCCTTCTGCTCTGGGTCCAGGGTATCCAGCTAAAACAACAGCAAAAAATGAAGCATCCACAAGGTGAACAAGTACCATTATGAATAAGAACAGGAGTTGTTTTTGATCATAAGAAAATAATATTATTCAACAACTGCAAATGAATTCCTACCTTATTAGAAGTCTGACGTGTTTGATTCCTACTAGCTACTGAATCCTTATCATCAGAAAAACTCAATCGTGTTGCCTCTTTTCTATTAGGATTTTTCCAACGTCTTGCTGTATTGCACAACAAACAACTCCAATGGAGCTTCCCGTCAATCAGAGTGGAACAACCTGCTGACTGAAGGCAACTTGTGTGATAGCTATGTACACAACTGTAGAGTAAATAATTGTTAAAATATATATTGCTTAATAAGAGCTCCAAGGAAGTTCCTGTAATCAGAGTAGGATACAAAACTGAGAGCATGTTTGATCATGAAGGAATACATTTAGCTGAAACTGAACATTCAGGACAATGTTACTAGCTTCTAATTTACCAAATATAAATCTACAAAATATTGGCAAGCATGTACCCATAAATGCTGCTACAATAGGGATATATAAATTTTTATTGTATTGCAAATCAAAATATAGCATGACCCTAAAGAAAAAAATGCAAAATTTCAGTTGTTAAGAAAAATCTTATTTTTATATATGTTATAAAGATTTATAAATATAATATGAAATTGCTAGTTTAACTGAATTTACACATCCCTAAGCAAAAAAATGTAAAATAAGACTGAAATACTTTAAAACTACAAATCCAGTATGGATAAGCTTATTTCACCATTTTTACCTGAAAATGATGACATCATCAGTAGACGAAGAGGCAAACTGTTGTGTACAAATTGGACAGTGCTCTGACCTTGAAATAACGCCCTTATTTGCAGTACTTGTTAGGTTGGTGAGGGACCAGTACAAATCTTGGGCAAGCAGTTGATTGGTAGTGTTTAACAGAGTCTAAAAATACATACAAAGGATACAGATATATTTACTGCTATAAATGCTCTGGTATAGGCCCATCCTTAACTTTTGAGCAAATGCTCCCTCCAAATAAATACCACAAACTTAAATAGAAATTCACACTGCGAGTTCTGGTGGTAGGCTGAAACCAGTGAGGTCTACGCTAGATAACATAACAGCATAACAGGGCCCGTTTTTTCACATTCACTCTTACATACTTTTAAGGTTTAATGGGTTTTATTTCTTTTATTAGTAATTTTAAAGGTTGTTATAAATTCTCAATGTTGTTTTAGTTTTTAATCAACTTTCATGTATTTTTTTTTTCATTTAAGGGACCCCAACGGAAATAAACCGATTCGGTTTTTTTGGGTTATCCTGAGCTGTAAATGTTTTACTAAATTATTGAATTGAATTGAATTGAGTTGTGTGATCCTCATCAATATTTTTCAGAATAATATAAAGAATTGAATTGAGTTGTGTGATCCTCATCAATATTTTTCAGAATAATATAAATAAAAACCTTAAAAATTATTTGGATTCAATAATTATTTTAAAATATCATCATCTTAGCCTTAAAGTGAAACTTTTACATTAGTAACTAAATGCTAACAAAAAATAAGACAAAATGAAAATTTGTAATAAACATCTAACAATACACATAGATTCATGAGTTATTTTAATGTATAAATGCTATCTTAATTAAAATACAAAATCTGAATTAGTGTACAGAATTCATCTGGGGAAGAAGAATCTGAGAATTGTTCGGGAAAACAGAATTTGTCCAGGACTAAATCGATGAGGAGGGGGTATTCTTATGCTTGTCAATGATAAATTCAAAAGTAATAGGCTCGATCATTTGGAAAATGAATTGTCAGAATATATATGGGTAGAGGTAAAATTGGCAAGAAGGTGGAGTTTGATTGTGGGATTATTTGATTTTAATACCAATGTTGAATGTTGTGTGAATAATATTAATAATAGGTTTTTATATAATTTAAAAAATATGGATAAAGAATATTTGTGCAAGATCTTGTCCTATTACACCCTGGCATATAATTGATTTTGAATTAGATGGAGATGTTAATGAAGCAGTAAATATGTTTTATGACCTTCTTACTGCTGCAGTTACTGATGTTGTTCCTAAAATAAAAAAGCGCAGAAAATTGCCCCCATGGTTTGATGAGGAGTTAAAAAGAGCACTGTATGATAAGGAAAAATGTTTTAGGAAGATGAAAAAGAATGATAATCGTTTTATGAGGAGCAATTTTAAGTTTGCTCGTACTGCATTTAAAATGATGTGTAAACATAAGTATAGAAAAAATCTAAATTTTCTTGCTAGTCAGATTGGTTCTAACAAAAAAAGGTTTTGGAGCTGGATAAAAAGTAAGCACAAATCAAGCAATTATCCATCTGTTATGTCTCATAATGGTGCATCTGTACAATCAAATTATGAAAAGGCTGCTATGTTTAATTCACTGGTTTTTTTTTTTTTTTTCGTTTTTTAGACCTCATAGTCAGAGAGGTTCTGAGGATATTCAGAGTCTTCCTGATTATGATGTCGACAAGTTGTCGTCATTTCGGGTGGAACAGCATGTAGTGGAAAGAGAATAAAAAACTTATTTGCAATTACCTCCCAGTTTCCCTCCTGCCAACCCTCTCAAAAATCTTTGAGAGAATTGTGCATGATGTTGTTCATACTCAAGTTTCACCTGTTTTAAGTTCTTTTCAGCATGGCTTTGTTCCGAGAAGGTCCTGTCAAACAAACCTGGCACTGCTTCTTGCTACAGCATACAAAGCTATTGACAGCAAGAAGCAGTGTGATGTGATTTACACAGACTTTTGATTCTGTTAATCATGAATTACTTCTTACGAAAATGTTTAATTTTGGAATTTCTGGATCCTTATTTAATTGGTTTAATGATTATTTAACTGACCGTAAGCAACGTGTTGTTATTGAAGGACAATCATCAGTATGGTTACCAGTCATTTCTGGAGTACCTCAGGGCTCAATCCTGGGAACTTTATTATTTAATTCATTTATCAATGATCTACCATTACATTTCATTTCTGCTCAGTCACTTTTATTTGCTGATGATGTTAAATTATTCAGAGTTATCTCATCTCCACAAGATGCTGTTCTTCTTCAGGACCTGTGTAGGTTGGTGACCAGGGATAGGGATAGGAAACTCAGTCTCAATATTGACAAGTGCAAACTCTTATCTATTACTTTGAAAAAGAAATCCATTAAGTTTAAATATCACATTGATGACCAGGTCCTTGAATCTGTTTCTGCTCATAAAGATCTTGGAATACTTGTTTGATTGCAAGTTGAATTTTTGTTTTTATTAACCATATTGTTGCTAAATCTAATAAAATGCTGGGCCTGATTTGGAGAAATTGTAGACTCTTAAGGGATGGAAAGGCTCTGATGGCCTTATATAAAACCATAATTAGGCCCAATTTATAGTTCTGTACAGTAATTTTTAATTCTATTTCTCCAAATCAGGCTCAGCAGATTGAACGTGTTCAGAGAAAATTTTGTAGACTTATAAAGAATTGTCCTAACTATGTTATTAATGTTATTTTACTTAGTGATCATAGAATGCTCTCTGACATGGTTTTTCTTTTTAAGGTAATGAATTCTGATTATGATTGTGAATTAATTTCTTTATTTAATTTACATGTGCCCAGGAGTACCCGAAATAGAGTCTTTTAAACCCACCTTTTAGTTGTGTTGATGTAGAGGTTTATTTAAACGTTTATGTGATTGTTATAATAAGTTTTGTATGTCTAATATTGATATTGATATTTTTATTTTGACAGTACCTTTTTAATGTATTGTTATTATTTATTTTCATAATAGTAGAGCGGCTAAGGTTGAATTTCAGGTAGAATCGTGCACTTCTGGAAGAAAGCATGAAACTTCCCACAGGATACTATGACACCTAAAGATCATTAAAAAAAATAGACCACAAAAATAACGCCTCCTAATGGCCACCATCCTGAAATCCAATATGGCCGCCAAAATATTTGATTTTAGCCAATATATTCATATCTACAGCACATGTCATTGCCAAATGAAGATCACTACATATGTTTTCAATATCAGGGAGTGTCATGCAATCATCAGAAATTATGTCAGATGGCGCCGCCATATTAGATTTCAAGATGGCTGCCAGATTAATGATATTTTTGTCAATATTCGTATCTACAGTACCTAGCACTGTCAATCAAAGACCGTTGCCCATGTTTTCGATATCAGTGACTAGCATGCAGCCATCAGAAATTATGTCAGAAGACCACCATATTAAATTTCAAAATGGCCGCCATCTTGAAATTTAATATGGCCGCCAAAATAATTAATTTTAGCCTATTCATATTTACAGCACATATCACTCCAACTGAAGATCATTACCCATGTTTTCAATATCAGGGAGTGTCATGCAATCATCAGAAATTATGTCAGATGGCCGACAAATTATTGCTATTTTTGTCAATATTTTATCTACACCACCTAGCACTGTCAATCAAAGACCGTTACAAATGTTTTCGATATCAAGGACTATCATGCAGCCATCAGAAATTATGTCAGAATGCCATCATTGAATTTCAAGATTGCTGCCATACTATTTCAAGATGGCCACCAAATTAATTATTGATAATGTTGTAAATATCATCATATCTACAACACCTAGCACTGTCAAAGATCTCTACTCGTGTTTTCGATGTCCGGGAGTATCATGCAGATATCAGAAATTATGTCAGAAGGCCACCATATTGAATTTCAAGATGGCTGCCATATTGGATATCAAGATTTTTTTTTTTTCATATTTACATATGAAAACTACCAGCACTGTGAATCAAGATTGTGTATACGTATAATTAGGGATATCAAGCAATCATCAAACATCTCATTATCATAGTGAGACCTGCCTATGGCAGTGAAGTAACACCATTTAGAAAGAAGTCTGACAACTGCCACATTGGATTTCAGAATGATTGCCAATTAAGAAAGGTACATGAAAGAAATAAAATTAAAAAAATAATAGAAAACTGTTAAGGAATAACAAATTGTATACTTTGTATGGTATGAGAGCAAGTGCAGAGGGAGAGAGATAGATGTAGATATTAAACATCATCATTTATATTAAAGCTAGTTTTAGCATGAATGAAATTATATAAACATAAATCAAATATTCAAATTAATGATGTGAAGACACTAATATCGAATAGACCTTATGTCTATGAGATGGCTAATTATCATTTTCAAATGATATATAAACATATGTAAATATTGAAAGGGAAAGCAACGGAAAAGAAAATTAAAGGAAGGAAAAAAAAGAATGGAAAGGAAAACTTGAAAGGGAAAAGAAATAAAAAAGAATAGAAAATTAATATAATGGAGAAAGTGAAAAGAAATAAAAGAAACATCAAGAAAAATTAAGAAAAGTATATAGGCCTAGATAACTTTAGCATAAATGAAATTATGTAGACAAATTAAATATCACATTCAAGTAATTGTATGAAGAAAATAATATCGAATAGACTTCTAAATATCATTTTCAAATATATATATATTTTTTATTACTTAACAATTTCCACTAAGATAGCTGTTTACAAGGCTTGTGTAATTAGCACTCTCCATTATGGAAGCGAGTCTTGGACAACATACTCAACACAGGAAAAGAAACTAAATGCATTCCACATGAGATGTCTACGCCGTATTCTTGGAATTTCATGGCAACAAAAAATAACAAATACTGATGTGCTGTCTAAAGCAGCTATGGAGGACGGCCGTATTCCAAAAGATCTACTCTACGGAGAACTTGCTTCTGGAAACAGAGGTATAGGTCGTCCACAACTTCGTTTTAAAGACACATGCAAACGTGACATGAAAGTCCTAAACATAAACACAGACACATGGGAAGCGATTGCAACCAACAAAACATCATGGAAGCAAGAACTATCTTCTAGTCTGGAAAGAGGCGAAATCGCCATTCAAAAAGAACAAGCTGAAAAGCGGGAAAAAAGGAAATTATGAGAAAAACAAACACCAACTGACCAAAACACAGCAGTGTTCAAATGCCCGGGCTGCAACAAATTATGCAAGTCCCGTATAGGACTGTACAGTCACACCAGATGCTGCTCCCTGTCAACCTCAACAGGCGCTTCTTCATAGTCTGACAAGACTGACAGATGCCAATGATGATGATGATGATGATACATACATATTTACCACTAGGGCCCCTGGTATATCGCAGATACAACCCAACCAGGACACTTCTTTAAACAAATAATATACTGTTGCCAGAGAATACTCTAGAAGTCATACCCGTATTATAATGAAGTAACATATAGAATCAATGTTGATGCGTAGCATTGTGGTATAACTGATCAAATAATGACAGAAACAGTGCTAAATGAACAATGATGTAAAGATCATATCAGGCATAACCTATCAAAGAAAAAGTTCTTTACCAACTGTATGAAAAAGACAAAAGTGCCCCCAGTGAAAAATTAAACCATGCATCAGTTGTTTGAAAATGTGTCCTAGTTGGATTTATCAGGAAACGAATATTTTGTATATATTCTTTTATTCACCATTGCTATATTTGTTACTAATTATGAATAGGCAGTATTATGTGCCTAAAGGCACGGTATCTTATTGTCCTATTGTTACCAATAAAGCTTTATATATGCATGGAGTAAAGAATATTCTTTACTCCATGTTGTATGACATTTTTTGTGTAATTTACAATGGCTATAATACTTAGGGGCTTACTGCTGGCAATAAAGTTCACCTTCATTGCAAGTTGTATGTGTTGGACTGACCCAATTGGGGGTTTGATTCATTTCTTTCGCGTTCGATAGTATTATGTGCCTAAAGGTGTTAAAAGTGTATTTGTGGTTTGTGTATCGGGTTTTGAACGGTGTGTCGGTGAGCCCGATGTAGCATTTTGTGTCATCATTTGAGTGGACAGAGGCTTTGTAGATGATGGATGAGGTGTGGCAATTTCCAGAGAGTGGACATTCATCTTTTTTCCTGCAATTGCAGAGTTTATCTGGCTGTTGTTGCTTAGCAACCAGAAGCTGTTTGTTGTGGGCTCTGATTATACTGCCCATGTTTCTTGAGCAGCTATAGCTGACTTTAACATTGTTCTTGTTGAACAGCTAGTGCAAAATGTTGCCACTCGGAAAATGTTTCTTTACGAGGTTAAGGAATGATTTTCCGATGTTGGTTTTAACTGCTTTGCTGAATGGTGGGTTGTACCAGATTATTTGTCTGCTTCTATTACTTTTTTGGGATTTTGGTTGCGGAGGCTGGTATTCCATTTTGTGCTGGAATCCGCTGTTTTACAGAGCTTGTTCGTAGTCGGGGGCGGCCTGATGAAATGATTCACTGGAATCCGATATACTGGATATGCGTCTGTTAATGGATGCGGGAATTTGTTTCAGGATAGATGGGGGATGGTTGGATTTGGTG